CCAGCATGTCCCCATGGTCTCTGAGCTCTAGTCATAAGTGAATCTTATGCCCTGAGCAGCGTGGGGTATGCAGCGAGAGGGAGAAACCCGGGGACAGGGGGCCACTAAGCACAGGCCTTGGGGTCCCCGGGAGAGTGTAGACTCGCTGCAGGGCCAGGACCCCTAGATCCTTCCCAGGGCCTGTGGTCTTGAGCTGGGGAGCAGGGTCGGTACCTGGCTGCTGGGCCGGCGGTGGGCCTGGAGCCTCCTGAAGCTCAGGCCTGGGCGGGGTGCGGGGCGGCAGGCCTTGCACCCCATTTGGCTTCTGCACCTCCATGTCTTCTTCGTTCTCAAACTCCTTGAACCTGGTGTGGGGAGCACAGGCCTCGCTGAGTCGAGTTGCCCGGGTCCACGCAGAGTGCCAGGATGAGGCAGAGACAGGGGATGCTCATGGCCCAGCCCCCAGGAGGGTGGAGAATGGGGTGGACACAGACCCCAGCAATCCCAGCCATCTCCCACATTGGCCCTGGAGGGTCACAGCAGATCAGGGACTGTGACCCTCATCTGTGGTCAGGAGCCCCAGAGCGGGGTGGGTAGAAGCGTCCCGACCCCACAAGGGACAACCTTCCCCAGGCGAAGGGCCTCTCAGGGCTGCCAAGATCCTCCCCCCACCCGCCCCCCCCCCCCCGAGCTATCTGGGAGCAGCCCCTGCAGCCATCCTTTAGTCTCTTGTGCCCCCTCCTTCTCCTCTGGGCCATGGCAGGCTGGAACCTTCTCTTGGGGGGGGGGCAGGGAGGGTCCCTCCAGCTCCACAGTCAAGCTGAGCCCCTACACACCCTGGGGTGCCCCCTGGGGCAGGGGGTCTTCTCAGTAGTGCCCCTCCTTGGTCCCCCACACAGAGGACGCTTCCTGGAAGGGGCAGTAGACTTGAAGGCCCTTGTGCGAGTGGATGGGGGCTTGAGATCCCCCTGACCTCCAGCAAGGTGTGGGCCAGTGTCAGGGCCTGTGTCAGGGCCGGGGTTCCTGGGTAAGCCCCAGGGCAGCAGTCTCTTGTGAGAGGCTTGAAGGAAGGCCAGCCTGCTCAGCTCCTCTTTCTCCTCACTGGAGTCCTCTGCTGCCCCAAGCTTCCCCCGGCCAGGAGGGGCCTCTCCCAGCATGCGGGGAGCCCTGCTGTCCAGAGTGGGGGCAGTGAGGCTGGGACGGGGGGCCCGTCCTGCCTGCAGGGGTGGGGACTCCAGGCTCCGCAGAGAGGGAGCAGAGGCTCCAGGTGCCATCACAGTGGCCTCGGCCCGCCCAGGCCGTGAGGCATGTCCAGAGTCAGTCTCAGGCGGGCAGGACTCAGTGCTGGTCCCTGGCCTGTGGCCCCACATTGGTGTTGGGGTGCCGTGGCCTGCTGCTGTCTTGGCTGGACTGGAGTCCTTTAGGGTCACCGGGTGTTGGGGACGAGCCTTCATGACATCCTTATCCTGTGAGTTCTACAGACACTTTTGCACAATCTGGGGGAGAATGGACAGTGTGGGCATGTAGGGCTGCAAGGTGGGACAGAGAGTGACTCTTACTCCTCTGAACAGAAGATACTTAAGCTCTATGGATCCCTCAGGGTCATCTAACCCTCCATCATCCTCCCTTCACGCAGTATTCATGTCCTCTTGTCCCTGAAGCCTCACATGAAGGGGGCAGGAGGGCATCGCACTTGCTGGGACCCCGTTTCTGGTGCGCGCCTCCTTGACCCATGCCGCCCGGCTTATCTGAGTTCCCAGGCTTAGTCACCGTCTCCCCATAGAGTCTCCTTCCCCGAACCTACCCAGAAAAGTCCTTTCTGTTTGCCCAGGGTCCTTGCTCACCTCCTTACCTGAACCCTCCCTAAACTCCCTGGTCCCTGACAGAAACCTCCAGAGGTCCATTTGCCCTCACCTGTGTGGGGGTGAGTCCTTCCTCCTTCTCCAGATCCTCAGCCAGGGCCAGGAGATCCAGCTGGGACTCCTGGGAGAGCAGGTGCTCCAGGAAGCTGGGATGAAGGATCGCCTCAACCTGGGAGAGGGAAGCAGGGGTGAGGGTCCTCGTAGGGAACAGAAGGGAATGAGGAAGCAAACACACCTTTCCCCAGCACAGTGCACGGGCTTAGACGGCTGCACAGGCTTGGACGGCTGCACAGTCTCACACGGACACAAGCCGGGAACGCTCACACACACACACACACACACACACACACACACACACACACAGCGACACATACACACCCGCACTCACAAAGGCACATGGACTATATACCTACTCTCACAGAGTAGCACATGTGAGCACACATGGATTCAAGCACACACCTGATACAAATGATACACTCTCTTCCACCTCTAGGTACGTGTACATGATTCTGCACGTGTCTGCACAGAGCCCACACAGTACACACAGATGTAGACACACAGAGATGTTCACACATCGACCAAACTCAGAAAGGCACAAACAAGGGCCACTGCTTGTACACAGAGAGACACACGTGCACACGTGCACACGTGCACACAAAAACAAGCAAAAACATGCAAACACAGGTGTGCATACACACACAGAGCTCAAAGCAAAGACTGCATGTCACTGCCAAGGCCTCACTGCCAAGGCCTGGACAAGAGCAGCCCTGGTGCGGGCATGCCCTGGGCCCGCACCCTCACCTTGGTGACAAAGGCCTCCTGGGAGCACAGCTCGTCCACGTAGCTCAGGAACCCCTACTCAGAGCAGGTCCCGGCCTCCTTCTGCTGCTCCTTCCTGCCCGCTGCCCATTGGTCTTGGGGCACCCCCCAGACTGTGTCGGGGACCTTCAGCAGCTCCTCCATGATGTCCATGTACTCCTGCACGGCCTCAGGGGGGATCTCTAGCAGCGTTGGTTTCCGGGGACTGCTGCGTTTCATGTGTTTCGGGGTGAGCTTCCTGGGCACAGAGGCTGTCCGTATTAGGGACACAGGCTGAGGAGGAAGAAAGAAGAGAAGGACGTGAGGGGACTCCGCATCCATGCCCTCAGACACACAGCACTGAGCACAGATTTGGGAACGGGTTCCAGTGGGCTGGGTCAGGGCCCTAGAATCCCGTGGCTGCGTGAGGGACGAGGGGACCCTCAATGGGGGAGGGGCCAGCATGTCCCCATGGTCTCTGAGCTCTAGTCATAAGTGAATCTTATGCCCTGAGCAGCGTGGGGTATGCAGCGAGAGGGAGAAACCCGGGGACAGGGGGCCACTAAGCACAGGCCTTGGGGTCCCCGGGAGAGTGTAGACTCGCTGCAGGGCCAGGACCCCTAGATCCTTCCCAGGGCCTGTGGTCTTGAGCTGGGGAGCAGGGTCGGTACCTGGCTGCTGGGCCGGCGGTGGGCCTGGAGCCTCCTGAAGCTCAGGCCTGGGCGGGGTGCGGGGCGGCAGGCCTTGCACCCCATTTGGCTTCTGCACCTCCATGTCTTCTTCGTTCTCAAACTCCTTGAACCTGGTGTGGGGAGCACAGGCCTCGCTGACTCGAGTTGCCCGGGTCCACGCAGAGTGCCAGGATGAGGCAGAGACAGGGGATGCTCATGGCCCAGCCCCCAGGAGGGTGGAGAATGGGGTGGACACAGACCCCAGCAATCCCAGCCATCTCCCACATTGGCCCTGGAGGGTCACAGCAGATCAGGGACTGTGACCCTCATCTGTGGTCAGGAGCCCCAGAGCGGGGTGGGTAGAAGCGTCCCGACCCCACAAGGGACAACCTTCCCCAGGCGAAGGGCCTCTCAGGGCTGCCAAGATCCTCCCCACACCCCCCCCCCCCGAGCTATCTGGGAGCAGCCCCTGCAGCCATCCTTTAGTCTCTTGTGCCCCCTCCTTCTCCTCTGGGCCATGGCAGGCTGGAACCTTCTCTTGGGGGGGGGCAGGGAGGGTCCCTCCAGCTCCACAGTCAAGCTGAGCCCCTACACACCCTGGGGTGCCCCCTGGGGCAGGGGGTCTTCTCAGTAGTGCCCCTCCTTGGTCCCCCACACAGAGGACGCTTCCTGGAAGGGGCAGTAGACTTGAAGGCCCTTGTGCGAGTGGATGGGGGCTTGAGATCCCCCTGACCTCCAGCAAGGTGTGGGCCAGTGTCAGGGCCTGTGTCAGGGCCGGGGTTCCTGGGTAAGCCCCAGGGCAGCAGTCTCTTGTGAGAGGCTTGAAGGAAGGCCAGCCTGCTCAGCTCCTCTTTCTCCTCACTGGAGTCCTCTGCTGCCCCAAGCTTCCCCCGGCCAGGAGGGGCCTCTCCCAGCATGCGGGGAGCCCTGCTGTCCAGAGTGGGGGCAGTGAGGCTGGGACGGGGGGCCCGTCCTGCCTGCAGGGGTGGGGACTCCAGGCTCCGCAGAGAGGGAGCAGAGGCTCCAGGTGCCATCACAGTGGCCTCGGCCCGCCCAGGCCGTGAGGCATGTCCAGAGTCAGTCTCAGGCGGGCAGGACTCAGTGCTGGTCCCTGGCCTGTGGCCCCACATTGGTGTTGGGGTGCCGTGGCCTGCTGCTGTCTTGGCTGGACTGGAGTCCTTTAGGGTCACCGGGTGTTGGGGACGAGCCTTCATGACATCCTTATCCTGTGAGTTCTACAGACACTTTTGCACAATCTGGGGGAGAATGGACAGTGTGGGCATGTAGGGCTGCAAGGTGGGACAGAGAGTGACTCTTACTCCTCTGAACAGAAGATACTTAAGCTCTATGGATCCCTCAGGGTCATCTAACCCTCCATCATCCTCCCTTCACGCAGTATTCATGTCCTCTTGTCCCTGAAGCCTCACATGAAGGGGGCAGGGAGGCCATCGCACTTGCTGGGACCTCGCTTCTGGGGCGCGCCTCCTTGACCCATGCCGCCCGGCTTATCTGAGTTCCCAGGCTTAGTCACCGTCTCCCCATAGAGTCTCCTTCCCCGAACCTACCCAGAAAAGTCCTTTCTGTTTGCCCAGGGTCCTTGCTCACCTCCTTACCTGAACCCTCCCTAAACTCCCTGGTCCCTGACAGAAACCTCCAGAGGTCCATTTGCCCTCACCTGTGTGGGGGTGAGTCCTTCCTCCTTCTCCAGATCCTCAGCCAGGGCCAGGAGATCCAGCTGGGACTCCTGGGAGAGCAGGTGCTCCAGGAAGCTGGGATGAAGGATCGCCTCAACCTGGGAGAGGGAAGCAGGGGTGAGGGTCCTCGTAGGGAACAGAAGGGAATGAGGAAGCAAACACACCTTTCCCCAGCACAGTGCACGGGCTTAGACGGCTGCACAGGCTTGGACGGCTGCACAGTCTCACACGGACACAAGCCGGGAACGCTCACACACACACACACACACACACACACACACACACACACACAGCGACACATACACACCCGCACTCACAAAGGCACATGGACTATATACCTACTCTCACAGAGTAGCACATGTGAGCACACATGGATTCAAGCACACACCTGATACAAATGATACACTCTCTTCCACCTCTAGGTACGTGTACATGATTCTGCACGTGTCTGCACAGAGCCCACACAGTACACACAGATGTAGACACACAGAGATGTTCACACATCGACCAAACTCAGAAAGGCACAAACAAGGGCCACTGCTTGTACACAGAGAGACACACGTGCACACGTGCACACGTGCACACAAAAACAAGCAAAAACATGCAAACACAGGTGTGCATACACACACAGAGCTCAAAGCAAAGACTGCATGTCACTGCCAAGGCCTCACTGCCAAGGCCTGGACAAGAGCAGCCCTGGTGCGGGCATGCCCTGGGCCCGCACCCTCACCTTGGTGACAAAGGCCTCCTGGGAGCACAGCTCGTCCACGTAGCTCAGGAACCCCTACTCAGAGCAGGTCCCGGCCTCCTTCTGCTGCTCCTTCCTGCCCGCTGCCCATTGGTCTTGGGGCACCCCCCAGACTGTGTCGGGGACCTTCAGCAGCTCCTCCATGATGTCCATGTACTCCTGCACGGCCTCAGGGGGGATCTCTAGCAGCGTTGGTTTCCGGGGACTGCTGCGTTTCATGTGTTTCGGGGTGAGCTTCCTGGGCACAGAGGCTGTCCGTATTAGGGACACAGGCTGAGGAGGAAGAAAGAAGAGAAGGACGTGAGGGGACTCCGCATCCATGCCCTCAGACACACAGCACTGAGCACAGATTTGGGAACGGGTTCCAGTGGGCTGGGTCAGGGCCCTAGAATCCCGTGGCTGCGTGAGGGACGAGGGGACCCTCAATGGGGGAGGGGCCAGCATGTCCCCATGGTCTCTGAGCTCTAGTCATAAGTGAATCTTATGCCCTGAGCAGCGTGGGGTATGCAGCGAGAGGGAGAAACCCGGGGACAGGGGGCCACTAAGCACAGGCCTTGGGGTCCCCGGGAGAGTGTAGACTCGCTGCAGGGCCAGGACCCCTAGATCCTTCCCAGGGCCTGTGGTCTTGAGCTGGGGAGCAGGGTCGGTACCTGGCTGCTGGGCCGGCGGTGGGCCTGGAGCCTCCTGAAGCTCAGGCCTGGGCGGGGTGTGGGGCGGCAGGCCTTGCACCCCATTTGGCTTCTGCACCTCCATGTCTTCTTCGTTCTCAAACTCCTTGAACCTGGTGTGGGGAGCACAGGCCTCGCTGAGTCGAGTTGCCCGGGTCCAAGCAGAGTGCCAGGATAAGGCAGAGACAGGGGATGCTCATGGCCCAGCCCCCAGGAGGGTGGAGAAGGGGGTGGACACAGACCCCAGCAATCCCAGCCATCTCCCACATTGGCCCTGGAGGGTCACAGCAGATCAGGAACTCTGACCCTCAGGCTGTAGTCAGGAGACCCAGAGCGGGATGGGGAGACGCCTCCCGACTCCCCGAGGGACAAGCTTCCCCAGGCGAAGTGCCTCCCTGGGCTGCCAAGTCCCTCCCAACCCTCCTCTCCCCTAGCCATCTGGGAGCAGCCCCTGCAGCCATCCTTTGGTCTCTTGTGCCCCTTCCTCCTCCTCTCGGCCACGGAAGGCTGGAACTTTTTCTTGGGGGGGCCGGGAGGGGCCTTGTTGATCCACAGTCAAGGCTGAGCCCCTACACACCCTGGGGTGCACCCTGGGCAGGGGGTCTTCTCAGCAGTGCCCTGCCTTGGTCCCCCACACAGAGGACGCTTCCTGGAAGGGTCAGTAGACTTGAAGGCCCTTGTGGGAGTGGATGGGAGCTCGGCATCCCCCTGACCTCCAGGCAGGTGGGGGCCAGTTTCGGGTCCAGTGTCAGGGCCAGGGCTCGTGGGTAAGCCCCAGAGCAGCAGGCTATTGTAAGAGGCTTGGAGGAAGGCCAGGCTGGTCAGCTCCTCTTTCTCCTCACTGGAGCCCTCTGCTGCCCCAAGCTTCCCCAGGCCAGGAGGGGCCTCTCCCAGCATGCGGGGAGCCCTGCTGTCCAGAGTGGGGGCAATGAGGCTGGGACAGGGGGCCGGCCCTGCCTGCAGGGGTGGGGACTTCAGGCTCCCCAGAGAGGGGGCAGAGGCTCCAGGTGCCTTCACAGTGGCCTCTGCCCGCTTACGCACAAACACAAGCAGAAATATGCAAACACAGGTGTGCACTTACACACAGCGCTCAAAGCAAAGACCGCACATCACTGCCAAGCCCTGGACAGAAGCAGCCCTGCACCCTCCGACCCCACAGCAGCACCCAAACCCCCACCTTGGTGACAAAGGCCTGTGGGAGCACAGCTCATCCATATAGCTCAGGAATCCCGGCTCAGGGCATGTGCCAGCCTCCTCCTGCTGCTCCTCCCTGTCCAATGCCCGTCGGCCGAGGGGCACCCTGCAGACTGAATCTGGGGCCTTTCGCAGCTCGTCCATGATGTCCCTGTACTCCTGCACGGCCTCAGGAGGGATCTCTTTGGGGGCCTTGTTCTTGGGCGGCTGCTGAGGTTTGTGTGTCTTGGGGCGGACTGCCAGAGCCCGGGGTCTGGCCTTCTTGGGGACACAGTCTAAGGAGGAAGGAAGAAGAGAGGGATGTGAGGGGACCCCGCGTCCATGCCCTCAGACACACAGCACTGAGCACAGAGTTGGGGACGGGTCCCTGTGGGCTGGATCAGGGCCCTAGAATCCAGTGGCTGCGTGAGGGATGAGGTGGCCCTCAACGGGAGGAGGGACCAACTGTGTCCCCAGGGTCTCCGACCCCACTTCAAAGGTGAGTCTGAAGCCTCAGGCAGCATGGGGTGTGCTAGGAGAGGGAGAAACCCGTGGACAGGGGGCCGCTGAGCACTGGTCTGGGGGTCATCGGGAGAGTGAAGGCTCCTAGCAGGTCAAGACCCACGAGGGCCTTTCTAGGTCCTGTGGCCCTTAGCTGGGAGCAGGGTCCGTACCTGTCTGCTGGTCTGGCGGTGGGCCTGGAGCCCCCTGAGGCCCAGGCCTGGATGGGGCGGGGAGTGGCAGGCCGTGCACCCCATTCGTCCACTGCAGTTTCTGTACCTCCATCTCCTCCTCCCCCTCAAACTCCATGAACCTGGTGTGGGGAACACAGGCCCTGATGAGTCGGGTTGAACGGGACTGAGCAGGATGTGTAAGGGACAGGCAATGCTCATGGCCCAGTCCCCAGGAGGGTAGAGAATGGGGTGGACACGGACCCCAGCACCCCCAGCGATCCCCCACATTGGCCCTGGAGGGTCACAGCAGGTCAGGGACTGTGACCCTCAGACTGTGGTCAGGAGCCCCAGAGTGGGCTGGGGAAAAGTGTCCTGGCTCCGGGAGGAACAAGTTTCTGCAGGGGAAGGGCCTCCCGGGCTGCCAAGCCCTCCCTGCCCCTCGGCCATCTGGGTGCAGCCCCTGAAGCTCGGGCCTGCAGCCACCCTGACCCACACTTGTTGGAGTACAAGGAGCTTAGGTTTATCAGGTTGCACCCATCACAGTGCTCCCGAGTCACTCCCATTACTTTGCCTGTCTGTAACCTCGTCTATGGTCTCTTCCCCCACCAATTTGTAAGGTCTCATCCTGCTTAGACACTGAAGCTGTACTGTAAGTTAATATTGTCTTTCTCCTCTCCTTATGTCTTTTGAGCAGTTTACTTTAATGCAATGGCCTTTTGTATAGATACAGGAAGACAATTAATTAATATTATGCTTTATAACTTAGGATTTAATTGGCTTTGGATATTATTCACTCCTGGGCATCTGTCTTCTCAACTTAAGCCTCAGTTGCCCTCACTTCCTAGCACTCCAAGGGCAGGGTCCCGACGTGGGACTAGATGGAACCAGGGCAAGCCGGTAAGTTATGTGCTACCCTGGCACCGCGATGGGCCAGGCCAAGGTGACATGATTCTTAACTATAAGTTAAGAGTTTGATCATAGGCAAATGCTGTCATGATCCAAAAGTAACGACGAGACTAGGACCCTGCTGCTAGGAATAGGAAAGGTATCTGGCCTGAGCACGACAGTCTGAGATTGAGATGGCCCTGGGAGAGTAATTCTATAAGCTCAAGGTATTTCTTACTGTGTCCATACAAAATGATTAATATTATGTGTGCTTATGTTGGTTGGACCAGGAGAGGAGAAACACGTCCTAGAAGCAGTTTTCCTATGTGTCCTGACTAGCTTGGATGAGACTGAACTTTCTCCCCTCCAAACTGCCTTCAGTAAATGATTTCAGTATAATGAAGCAGCTTCCCTTTTCCACAGAAACCTAGCTGGTCTTGGATATGCAGATCTCAGGTGCTAGCCAGGACTGATCTTTGGGATGTAGATTTCCAGCTCTGGCCAGGCTGGTCTTTGGGATGCAAATCCAAGTGCTTGTAAAGGTGAGGCCAGGATTCCTGGCCTGCTGATGTAAAGAAACAATGTGGATGTAAAGAAACAATGTATGGTTTGCCCCCTCAATGTTCTTTCTGTAACTCCTTTTGATGACAACACTATATTGCGACCTTTGGAGGTACTATGATCTATATAAGGGAGATTTCAGGGCTCTCTGGGGGTCACGGGCATCAGAGAACCTGGGAAGATGGGGCTGAGGACAGAGGCTGAGGGAACAAAGGTGCCCATGCTTGAGGATCCCTGAGGCCTCCATGACATACATCTCTTCCATGTAATAAACGGCTGCTAAGACCAACCAGCTTGGCCTCGTTTCCTTCCTTCGCCTGACCATCGCCATCGATCTCCGTGGAGTGGGGAAACGGCCTGACCGCCGGCCTTTTTATTTTTTGTGTGTT